TGTAGAATGTGGAAGATAATTGATTTTTAGGTATTTTGAATCTTATTGTTGAAATTTTGGTAGATTTGTGCAATGTCGATGTAGTTTTGTCTGGTGGCGGCTGGCGGGTGCATATTGTCGGAAACTTGAAATCGAACTAAGGTTGTAATACCAAGATGATGTTTCTTCTGTATTCTTAGTCTTTTCATCTGGTATAGAATGACCTATTTATTAGGCTTTTTTGTTTTTCCTTACAAATTTGCCGGAATTTTATGATATTGCTATTTTAGGTTGTTTTACTGATGAAATTTGAATGTGTTAAATCCTTCTGGCATCAGAAATCAGTGGCTTCAGGGCTTAAATTTACTCGTTTATCCCTGTTGTTAGTATCCGCGTAAAATAGTAGTGATGAATTACCAGTTAAGCTGATTTGAACTCCGAAATGACTGTTTCTTTATTTTGCCTGATTATCCCTCTCATCTTGAGCTTTGGTAAGTTTTTACTTAATATTCTACAGGAGACTGAGCCCTCCTCCAGTGATGTCCTCCAAAAGACTGTCTGGAAATGGCGGTTTTGACAGCCAGCCGTATAGTTTCAAGCACCGAAGGCTGAGCGCCCTTCGGACTTTCCCAGACAACTGTGGGCTCCGTGCTCCAATATCCCCAAAACCAAATGACGCGCGTGACATGACATTTGAGCCCCCTTCCGATGAGATAAATAAAAGAGGAATTGAAAAGTCGGCTAATAGCGCAAAGTATGTGATGGCAATACCAGCTGTGCCATTGAGATCTGTACAGCCGGTTAGTTTGGAAAATGACCCGAAAAATTCTGTGCCATATGGGGAAAATGATGATGGTCGGAAAAAAGGAGCTAATGAGAAGGAGAATAAGGAGTTTTCGCTTGACGAGTTGTGGAAGCAGGACTCGGACAAATTAGCAGCAATTGTTGCAGAGGCCAAAAGCTACTTGAATGCCTTTGATGTTAAGCATTATGAGAAATCGCCGGACTTGCATAGACGTTCGTCGATCGTGGAACCAAATCCTGAGTTCGTGGAACAGGAAAAAAGTGCGCACGGGAATTTAAGAGAAAGCCCTTTTGTGAAAGAAACTTCCGGATTAAAAAACAAGTCCGAAAATTACGAGGACGAAGTTTGCATTTTATCACCCGAGGAGTGGAGGGAATCGCGTGTGCGTGAAAAGGTGAACTTTCGCAGAAACCGTGAAGGCATTTCTAGTTGTGAGCCAACGGATACTAAAAGTGAGGAGGAAAAGGAGGACCAGATTTTAACAAAATTGGATGAATGCGCGCCATTCGAAGATAATGATCCTAAATACTGCGGTGGAAATTTGGAAGAATTAATCAATTTGAACATTGTGAAACCTGAGGAACCTAAGGGGCTCATGGTGCGGGAGGCTTTGAGGTTGTTCGAAAAGAATTATAATGAACTCATGAATGAGCGCAAAATTGTGCCAAAAGTGGGAAGGAAAAATGCTTACATCCATCTCGAGGCCGCAAATTGCCTTAAGATAGATGGTAAGTACATTTTTCTCGAGAAGCCCTTTGGCCATGTGCCGGGCATTGAAATCGGTGATGAATTTCAATTTAGGTGCCAACTTGCAATGATTGGCCTTCATCGTCAGTTAGTATCCGGAATAGATCATGTGATTCTCAATGGGAAGAGATATGCAAATAGTGTTGTGGATTCGGGCCGTTATGAGAACATTTCGAAAACAAATGATGTCTTGATTTACTCGGGCCAGGGTGGGAATGTAAAGACCAATGATATCTCGGTCCATCAAAAGCTTGAGAGGGGGAATATCGCGTTGATGAATAGCAAGGAGATGAAATATCCCATTAGAGTCACCTATAAAAGAAAGAGTCACGCATGCCCCGAGCGTGGGGTTGTGTATGTTTATGACGGGCTCTACATCATAAATAATGCGTGGCATGAGAAGGATCAAACGGGCAAGCTCGTGTTCCGATTCGAATTGCACCGGTTGCCCGGCCAGCCGAGGGCTCACCAACAAGCGGAGGCAAAAATGAAGGTTTGCATGGTAGATGATATTTCCGGAGGAAAAGAGAAAATGCCGATACGGGCGGTGAACAACGTGGATGACGTTAGGCTCCTCCCGAAGTTTTCCTACATCACCCAAATGGTGTATCCCGATTGGTTAAAGAAAGTTGAGCCCGTGGGTTGTGATTGCGTGAATGGATGCTCGGATTCCCACCAATGCCCTTGCCTTGTGAAAAATGGGGGCGAAATCCCATACAACGAAAATGGTTCTATTTTACGGAGAAAGCGTAGGATTCACGAGTGTGGGCCCTCGTGCAAGTGCCCTCCCACTTGCATGAACCGAGTAAGCCAACACGGCCCGCGTTATCGGTTGGAGATTTTCAAGACGGAGCTACGCGGTTGGGGCGTGCGGTCGCGTGATCTTATCCCGTCGGGTGGTTTTGTTTGTGAGTATTTGGGGGAGTTTTTACAAGAAAAAGAGGCCGACTTGAGAGTGGGTGGAGACGAGTATCTATTTGACATATATAATAGCCGTGGGGGGCGGGCGGATGGGTTTGCTATAGATGCGGGTGTGTATGGAAATGTTGGGAGGTTTATTAACCATAGTTGCTCACCTAATATGTATGCGCAAGACGTTCTTTATGACCACGCGGACAATAAAATGCCGCGCATCATGTTTTTTGCGACCGAGGACATTTCTCCTCTTCAAGAGCTCACGTACGATTATAACTACAAGTTGGGGATGGTTTGTGATGCTAGTGGGAATATTAAGACCAAGGTTTGCTATTGTGGTTCTCGCGAGTGTCGTCGGAGGATGTACTAGTAATGGACTTCTGTTACGCCGGGTTCTTTTTTTTTTTTTTAAATCTTGCTTTCCACCATTTAAGAGACTTTACGAACATAGCCCTTCGGCTCATTTAGCTTTTGTTTTCGTTGTTTAAGTTTGTATTGGTTTATGTTTGAAAAGTTACATGTTTGGTTTGAAGATTATTGTATCTGGCTTTATTGTGGAGATTGTGTTCTTTTTATATTTTTGAATAGTTGTGTTGCTTACCTCTGCTGGGGTAAGAATGTTGTGAAAGTTTGTTTCCACATTTGTAAAGAAGTTATTCTCTTCTTGTTGGGAGTGTGTTCTCTAGTTTCATCCCAGGTACATGATTCGTGTTCGTCGTCGGATTCTGCCAATCGTTACTCGGTTGCGCAGGCAATCTTCCGGTCAATTGAGTTCCAAAACCATTGAGCTTGATATGTGATACTAAGCTGTATATATAGCACGTATTCTCTTCCTATTTTCCAGTGACTCAGAGACAAATTTGGTGTTTTTTTCTGATCCTCTAAATGTATCATGTTTGGCCAATACAATATACAAATTTTTATGTGAGACGACCTAATCGTTTATCCGTCATACTAATATGCAAATTTAGTTATTATGTGAGACAACCTAATCGTTTATCCGCCATATTATTCGAACAAAAATACATACTTAAACTTAGTTTTTAAAGTGTCACATTTCATAACGAAGCTATACATAATTGTAAAAATAACATGTCGGCATAATGGTTAAGCTGACCTAAAACAAAACGAACTGCAAACAATAATGAAAATGAAATTGGTTTCGAGGCTGTAAATGAGCCAGAGTGAGACTTATTCGAAAATGTAAATGTCTTATTCGGAAATTGATCAAACTTTACTCTTGCATTTGCCTGCCACCAACATCCGGACGTGAAGCTTAGAAAGACCTTTTTTTTTTTCCCGAAACGCCGAACACTTTCATAACTGAAAAACTCAAAAGAGTACATAAGAAGTGTCAACTAACACTAAGGAACCAGAAAACATGAAACTACCCCTTGGAATTCCATAAGAATACAAGTACAACTCCATAAAGAAGACAACCGCCACAACAAAACAAAACTCATAAAAGACACTTAAGCTCGGAGACTTAAGCTGGACTAGCAAACCTAAAAACAAAGAAAAACACGCACTATAAAGAAAATAAGACCTCCCCTAGACCTAGCCTACCAAACATAACGCACGACCACCCGAGTCAATACACGAGCCACTCCCAGCAGCACAAAGATCCAACAAAGCAGCACGCCAGCACCTCAAACCTGAAAACTGTGACCATTCGCGCCGTCTATACAGATCTAATGAAGAGTCAACTCTCGATTCGGATCTGGACTCTAAAATTCTACCACACCAGAGAAAGAGGAGAGTCGCCACAAAGGACGCCAACAACACACGCCGGAGGGCTCAAAAGGGATCCAAACGCACAGCGAGCCGTACCCTTGGACACGACAACTAAGGAACCCGAACTCAGACGCACCGAAGGCCAACGGAATCGAGAGGCTAGGGGCCCGGCGACCCGACCTTAGCCGGGGAGATGGCGAGCGGCGAGCACCAGGCCGAGCACACTCACGCACGGCCTCGGAAGAGGCGGAAAAGAGGGCCCCCAGCCCCGACTCAGTGGAATCCGACTCGAGTAGTACGGTGGCAGGCCTCAGGTTGAGGAGGGGCAATGGCGAATCTGGTTTTCTTTCTTTTTTTTTTTTTGTTTTTTCCGGAAGAGAGGATGAAAGAGGGGGAGCCCGACTCGGTGAAATTTAGAAAGACTCAACAACAAAGTTTTACTACAACCGTATGTATTACTCGTCCAGAAATATATCTCCACAACAGTAGAATTAACAATCTTAAAAGGTTTTAACAAAGAAAAAACACAAATTCAATCTATTAATAAGATACTTTCAACAGCATGAATGACACTGATTTCATACTGTTAATCATATTTATCAGTTCTGCATCCTCAGCCATAGCAACGAATTGGGTCATTGCAGCCTTTCTCAGTTGACTGCCTGGAACCAAATCGGCCTCCCTTTGCAAGGTATTGTTGGTGATACTCTTCCGCTCTGTAGAATTTCTTGGCGGGCAGAATCTCGGTCATAACGTTTTTGTTCAACACTTTTTGCTGCCTCTCCTTGGACTCGATTGCTGCTTTCTCTTGTTCTATGGTGTAGAAGTATATTCCGGATCTGTACTGAGTCCCAACGTCATTGCCCTGCAATTATACAAAGATTGTTACCATATCTCATGGATAGCTTTTGTATATATGCCTAGAGCCTGAAACTGATCCTGCCCCCACTGCCAAACAGTCAAACACACAAACTAAACAACAAGATCAATTTTTTCCTCCACAAAAACCAATAAAAGAGCAGGAAAACGAAAATTGGGAAAACCCACCTGGCGATTAAGAGTCGTCGGGTCGTGCCTCGCCCAGAAAACATCAAGCAGGGCATCAAAACCGCAATCTTTCGGGTCGTACTGCACCCGAACCACCTCCGAGTGTTTCGTGGTGCCCGAGCACACGTCCTCGTACGTTGGGTTGTGCAGATAGCCCTGGGAGTACCCGACCTCGGTCTTGGTGACACCCGGAACCCTCTGGAAGGCCAATTCGACACCCCAGAAGCAGCCCGCCCCGAATTGTGCGAACTGCTGACCGGCCGCCGGCGCCTCGCCGTCGGGGCCCTGGGCGATGGACGAGAAAGAAGACGAGTCGGCGGAGGAGGAGCGGCCTTCGAAGCCCAGCCAGTTGAGCCAGCTCATCCTTGGGGTGAACTGTGAAG